AATAAAATTGCCGGAAAAAAATGTGTCTCCTTATAATAATACGCCCGTTTTAAAGAAACTTGACGAACGCAGACTTATATTGAAAGAAAGTTGCTTCTACAGCAGCACTGTCAAAGCCCATATTTTTGATGAAGAATACGAACATGCTTCAAATATTTGGAATACTTCCAACATACTAAGGCTTTGACAGTGTTTTGACTGTTATTTAAAGATATTTGTATTGCTCCTCGTTAAAATAGTTTAGAACTTTTAAAATAACTGTTTTAAGGCATATCAATTGGATCTAGATCATTATAGCACCATGCCTGCCCTATTACTCAAATTTTTCTAAAATAAAGGAGAGAAATAATTTAATTGACCAAGAATAACAGAATCAATCCGCAAATATGTACAAGAGTTGATTTTATTTATACATGTATAAACGTAAGTATAAAGAGACGATAAATAGAAGAACGTCAATGCCATCTATGAGTTTTTTTTTTAAACGAACTCTTCATAGATTCTGCATCAGTTTAATTAGTGGTATCGTATCTCATATTCATACGTATTGAATAAGCACGTCGTGACTCAGTCTGCTAGATTGTAGGTTGGCATGTAGGAGACCACGGTTCAATTTCCAGCCAGTTTGACTTTTTCAGGCAAGTGCCTCCGTCAACTGTAACAAATGCTTTTCTACCACTCAATGCTCCCCTAGAAACGGATAAGCAACTTTTTCGAAATGAAACTGCCAATTTTTCTTACCCCCCTTCCAGTAATGAAGAGGAAGCCCATCCTTCTACCCTTGCTTATTACCAGAGCTCAGTACCCCTAGTAGTGCTGTTTATAAGAGCCAGACGTATAATACTGAAACACAAAAAAAAGTGCTAAACAAAAGACATTATATACTGATATGTAAATAATCACAACAAAGTCAGCAGGCCTGTGTTTTCCTCAAAGGTGGAGTGTAAAAAATAGATAAAAAAGATGTGCATTTTTATTTATTAATTTTTTTTGTTCTATAATATTTTCAAATAAGAATACACACAGTATCGAATAATTTCCAAAGACATTAGGTGACACCAAAAATAAAGGTATGTTTATAGTGAAATAAAGTATGGATGTCTCCAATAAATAAAAGAATTAATCTAACCTATAATTGTATTTTTTGCCTTTCTAATGGTGGGCATAAAAAAATAGTAAAACAAGACGTTTTGAAAAAAGATTTGAAGAGGGTGGATTGTTAACGTACCCATAAAAATAAGTTTATCGTGAAGAAGAATTTTAATCTCACGTGATTCAATATACCATCAAGACCTTTTACCTTACAAGCTGCTGTTTTTCGAAAAGTTTTGCTTACAATCACATTAAATTTATTGTTGTTAAGACAAAAAACCATCAGCCGAAAGAAAAATTGATCAAAGTTATTGAACATTGGAGTTGATGTATGAACGAAAATAAAAATAATAATGTCGGGGGTGTGAGGGGTCCATAAAGGTAAGTAACTCATATTGACCCTATAATAAAGTATACTCACAATACTTTTCTCAATTTTTGTGGGACTGTGGGGTAGGGTGAATTACCCTATTTGTAACCTTTTATAACATATTTTTCAAAACATACTTAGGTTTTTGTGGTGGGCTGTGAGAGGGTCTTTATAGTGGGGGCACAGTAGTGTCAGAGGGTTAGATGAATTTTTTTTCAGAAAAAAATCGTGGAGAAATGTTAAGAACTCTCTCTTATTTTATGAGGAGGTGTGGAGGAGCTAATGGAAGTGTTAAAAGTGTCAAAAAATACAAGACTTATAATATTTTTTTAAAACGATCTATGTTTTAAAGAGGGAAGTTCTGGCAATACAGGGGAGGCACTAAGATTAAAAGAGAGATCTAGAGAAGTAGATGGCATTGCAAGGGGGCACTTCTATCACCTAGAATTTATAATACACGCTTTACATTTATATTTAAATTCTTCTATTTATTATATTTTCTTGTAATAAAAAATCCGTCTAATAGACAATTCAGTAGTACACATTTTTTTTTAAACATACATATATTTCATTTTATAAAAAATTACTATTTGAAAATTCAAATTTAAACGCCGCGCACGGGGAGTATGCGTCTAGTACGTTGAGAAAACGCTAGAGCGCGTTCACCCAAAAAGGGAAAACCTGCGACTCAAAAGGAAATAACGTTAGCATAAAAGGCACCAGTGCGCAATGGCTGGGCAGTTCCTCTACAAGCGAGCCTGGGACGTGGAAACTCCGTTGCTCACCCAGATCTGAAATTTTCCCGTGCACCGATATAATACCGCGACGAGCACAAAAGGGAGAGAAAGAGACGAAGTACGAAGGCTGATAGCTGAAAAGTAAGTTTGTACACCACTAACAGGTAACACTTCCACTAACTGGTATCTACTTGGATTTTCGGTGTTCGACCGCTTTAAGCNTGCCAGAGCAGAAACAGAAGCAGAAAGAGAGATACCTTAGCACAAAAGGGAGAGAAAGAGACGAAGTACGAAGGCTGATAGCTGAAAAGTAAGTTTGTACACCACCAACAGGTAACACTTCCACTAACTGGTATCTACTTGGATTTTCGGTGTTCGACCGCTTTAAGCGTGAAGACGACGCACCCCCAAGTAGTCGAGGCACTAGGGTTAGCGACCACATTCTTAGGCGAAGTTCCTGGGTTGACGACTTGAGCAGTACTCAAGACACCTAAGGGCCCTGAGAACGACCTTACCTTACGTGACTCAATAGGATAGGTAGCTACCTAACACTAACTCTCCGTGGTTGTAATGAAAATTCGTATTAGTCTTACCTAACGTGTTCAAGCAGAGACATTAAGAAGGGAAAATTCAAATTGTCATTTATGTAGAATTCTCTATTAAAAGGGCAAATAAATTGTAAGTTTATTATCGAGTATATTATTTTTTTTTTTTATTATTAACGTAAATAATTGCGATTACTTAAATATAATTAATACATGTAAAAATTAAAGATATAATTTCCTTAGAATCATATGATTAAATAAATAAAAGATAATTAAAAAAAAATTGATTGTACTTATTTAAGCAAACCTTCTTCTCCACGTAAGATTGCGAGTTCCTTTGATAGTTTAAAATAAAAACTAGAAAAATAGCTGTTAAGATTTGAAATCGTTTATTTAAACTGAGAATATTATTGGTACTCCGAAAAGGGACAGGAATAAATAAAATAAAAAAGATATTAGATGAGAAAGATATTGAATGAGTTAAAAAAAAGATATTAAATTATTAAATTGATTAAATTAAGGGAATATTTAGGAGAATTTAATAAAGTAATAATCAATAAATAATTGCTGTATATGGTGCAGGAATTAATTGATTATTCAGCAAAGAAATTTTGAAACTTGATAACAATTATTTAAAATATTGTATATAATCGGCAATCTGAGCAATTTCGCTCTTTTACACAGGGCAACCAACCCGCCCTCCGACATATAAACACTATCATTGTTTGTTTGTTGGTTCCTAATGTTAGAGTTTCCTCGGTACAGATAATATTCTTAGCCGATTGTTACCACCACCAATTAACCTGGGTTATACTCAAAGAAAAAGAAGTCGTAGCATGGGTAATCAAACATTTTTTGTTAGATTAAACTTATAGATATATATAAAGAACTCTCCCTTGTTCTATGGAGGCTGTTGGTTCCTACAAGGAGACCATAGAGATGTGAGGGAATGTTTGGACTGACCCACCAAAAAAACTATAGAATATCTAAAAATATACTAGCAGGGCTCTGCCTTCAACGTGTTCAGCGAGCTAACGATCTGTCAATAAATTCTAATTCGTTACATAGACTTTAAGCTAAGAGGAAAAATGTTTTTATAAGAAATAAAAAATCCATTCAACTTAAAAGCACTAATTGTACGATTAAAAATAATATCTACATAAAAAAAATTAAAGATACCTTTTAATGTTAGTTACGTCTAGTTATTACGAAAAAAGCAGGGTCAGTTAGTCTGTTATGTAAAAAAAAGGTTATAGTCAATAAGAATGAAAAATAATTATTTAACTACATAAACAAATTTCAGCATAGTACTTACCATATTCTGACATGAAATGTTGTTATTTATCGGCTTTACTTTTAAGGTAATTTTTTTTTGCTTTTACAAAAACATTTTAATTTTCTTATGGGTACAAATTAACAATAGATATTCTATTCAAAATAGTCTAACCTTTATTCTAAGAGAAGTAAGAAAATTATGTAATAAACATTACTATACTGATAAATAATTATTGACTTTCAATTGAAATATTTCATTTTTTCTTTCGTGGACTCTATTATAATGCCCTTCATTTGCATATTTTTTTGAAAAACTGTTTTCCCTTATCTTAACAAAATTGATTGTTTTCTGGGTTATAAATGACTAAGGGTAATAAAAAGTGTATTTCTCTTGTTAATTTTTGGTTATGGATAATACAACGAAAAATTTAATAATATGTATGCTGTCTTGCGTAGCGTACGGAATAGTTTTTTTTTTATTATAACTACACTACATTTCAAAAATTTATCGATAAATTTTCGTTAGCAAATTTTCATTTTTTTTTTTAGTTGAAAAAACGTATTGGCAATATTTAAACTTGAGGAAGTTATTGACCTGAAATCATTAAACAAATAGCTATAATTAAAAATTTTTTTCGGGTAATGTTATGCAGTATAAGAAAACAATTTCAGTAATCCAACTGATTGTAGAAAGCACCCCTATATTGATAGTGTAACTATATTAAGTATGAATATTAGGAACATAAATGCTTTCTATATGTTCTCATACTTAAATTTACTTTAATGTGCAAATTTTGCTCAAATGATACTGTTGCCAGTAATAGTTTACCACAGAAGAAAAGATTGATTTTTAAGGTGAGACTAAAATGACTAACCTCTTTCCTCCACCACAGCATGTTCATTTAGCTTAAGACCTCGTGAATTTTATAAGATATACAAAATTTATAATTTAATTGCAAGCAGGAAAAAAATTTGTTTTAGATGGAATTACAAAATATCGAAAAAAACATTGGAACTGATAGCTGGATCTGTCAAGAAGCTTGTCAACTTTTAAAATCAACTAACGTCGTAAGCTTGAGCTCTAATCACTCTTGCGATAATATACCAGACTGTTTTTTTTGTGAATCAGTTATAGTATGGCACCAACTGTCACTTCAGCTTCTTTCCTTTATTACTCCAAGAGAACTTGTTAATCCACCAGATGTGAGTTTTTCCTTGTTATGAATTAAAAAAAATGATTATAATTTTGTGTTACTTACAACATATTATTCTAGAGATAAGGACAATTATATTTATAAGACATTAATATTAACAGATACAATGATATTATACACAAGAAAAAAATTAAGAACGTTTTTTCTACAGCTCCTTGTAAAGAATGACGTGGTGAATTGAGTTTTCATTATACAAAGAAGGCTGCTGACATATCTCTTGCTTTTTTTGCATACAAGAAATTGCATGTTCTGTATTTCAGTAGCTCAAGTGATACCTAATGATTAGCATAAACAAAAAGAACTTAAAGAGCAGTACTATCGGCAGTTTCTTATTTCAAATAATAATACAATGATTAAGCCCAAACAGTTATGAAAACAACAAGACCCTGATTTGATTCAATCGAAAATGCAAAACAAAATGTGTAAAATAATTTTACGTCAGTAAAAACTCTTACAAATTCGCACCATAAGAAACAATTTACAATTTTTTAACAGGTAGTGACTTATGAGTAAAATGTGTATTAGTATAGCGGTAAATACAAAAGTGGAACCTTTTTACACATGCTTAATATAGATGCTCTTCGTGAATGTGTGTGTTGTATTCGCTGTGAGAACAAAGATCAGCAGGGCTCTAGTAGATTTTTTCTAAGACCTGAACGTGTCGTAAGCCAGTTTTTGTGCCATGATACATAAGGACTCAGCGACATTAATAGTAATGGCAACTTACTGAAAGCCTGTAGTACTGTGCACTTTTAATATATAAAAAATTGCGTAATGAAACATCCATACAAAAACTTCCAACCTATGTCAGCGCTGTGTATAATCAAGAAGCATGAAGGGCAAAGCCAAGAAATGGGCAAGCTGTATGTATATTTACAGATGCCAGAGCAGAAACAGAAGCAGAAAGAGAGATACCTTTAATAGTTTTCAATTGTTGAATTATTGGTCAATCATATTAGGTAATTTGAAACGGTTATGGATGTATGTATGTGTATTGACGTGTGCTTTCTTTGTGTGTCGTTGTCAATTGTAGCCACTGTGCAGACCGGCAACGGCTGTACACAGTGTACACTTTGCTTTTTATAACTAAAGCAAAGACATCCTAGAGTTACTGTCAGCCAATCATTAATTTTTTAATGAAAAAATTATTGCACTAGCTTTCATATATCAAAAGTGCAGAGTACCTCAAGCTCTCAATCAGTTGCAATAAATATTTACGTTGCCAAGTCCGTTTGTATCACGGCACAACAACTGGCTCATGACACGCGTCAGGTCTCAGAAAAAGTCCGCTGCATTGCTGCTGGTATTTATTCTCACAGCAAAAATGTCTACGAGCATTTTAAAAAAGGTTATCGACTTAAGTGTTTATAGGAATTAAAAATAAGGCAATATTACTCATATTACTTTTGTAACAAGCATTTAAGTTCTGAGTAGCTGGTTTTGTATTAATATTATTAGCGTAAGCATGAATCTGTAACTTTTTAGATATTTGTCGTTTAAACTTACTATTCTCAGTGTCTTATATTTTCACTTTATTAAAACGAAATAAATCATCAGTTTATCTGAAATAATCTGCTATCACAGATCTACTTTCCTTATATTTAGAATGACTTATACGCCCTATAAGCTCATTCATTCTTGTTTTGAAGTATATAATAATGATAGTACAACCTTTTGGCCCCTTATTGTGGAAAGATGAATTGTTTAAACTATTTTTGTCTTATAGGGCAAAAAAGAAACATGAATCACTCAATATTAGGTAAGAATAGGAAAAATGCTTTCGCTGGTTGCGGATCAAGCTCTGAACGTTCTGTTTACAAGATAGCTGATTTACCACTTGAGCTACTAAGGAGCCGTACCCTCACTTGCACCGTAGGTTTAGATAAGTTCTGATAGTTGTTCCGAGCTGTTTTTACTTCGAGCTCAATGTTAGGACGGTTATTAGGAAATTACTTCAATGCTTGTAGATAAGTCGAAAATTTAATGTGACTTTAAGAGGTACCCTAGCAATATTGATACATTTATCATAGTATAATTTGGCACATATGTAGATGGAGGCATTCGTATATAAGCACTTTTAAAACAATCTATGCCCTTTTTTATTACAAATAAACAGTACTAAGCTATATCTAGATTATTACTCAGAAAATATATCATCCTAACAGTATAACCTTCTTGCCCTTAATTGCGTATAGATGAATTGTTTGGGCTCTGTTTATTTTGTAGGGTGAAACGAAAACTTCAATTACTTGATGTGAAGTAAGAACTAGACAAATATTTCTTATTTCACCCTAAAATATCTGCACAGTCTAAACGATTCATCTACTTATTTTTAAACGTCTATACGACCTATGTAACTTGCTTTACATTTTTTACAAATAGTTTGATATACAATCTCATACCAATCAATATTATTAACCGTCATCTTTCCTTGTTTTATAAGCATCAATAACTAATTAATTAATTAAGAAATTACTCAAACATTACAAAGAACCTTAGAGCTTTTTTTTAGTGTGGAAAAATGCACCTAATTCTCTGTATGTTTCTTTTGTGACTAGTTATGAATTGAGACTCTTATTTTTAAGATTGTTAAGTAATTTTACAAATCATACCGTAAGATTACAGAATTGTGCCCTATATTGTGGATTAAATGGTTGTAAAAAACAAGGAAAAAAAAGAGAATGGATGTTCACTTACTTTTTATCCAAGTTGCAATTACTAATAAAATGTAATGGGCAGCTCAGCGTGTGTGGATGAGCCTTGAGGTCAAGTATACGTCCTGAGAGTTTTAAGGTTAAACGTTCAACACTTACTGATAATTGTTGCTGGATGTATCGTATCGGGGTTGTCCTTTGATGTGAAGATCCTCTGCACTAAAAGAGTTGTCTTGGTGTAGTTCTTTTGACAATAGCTCTGACTTCTTGCCTAAATGCATGGCCTCTTATATGCTTTCAACACCTTGCTGTCTACATGGTTCAGTAGAAAAGTGTTGATACTAAGTTCTATAATTAAGGCTTCTTCTAGTTTCCCCTGTCTTGTTTGGGTCATAAGAAAGAGGAGCATCTTTATTATTTCATCTTAGGGCGTTTAGCTTTTCCTTACAGCGTTTTAATAAGTATCTTGCTCAGCTACTTAAGGTTAAATGCGTATGTCGCAGGATGATGAGCTGCTCCAAAAGGCCCATGTGCTGGCACGATTCTTAACTTGACCATGCATTGCTATGATTATCCAGGATTAACCTGGCTGCCGGAATGCTACTGCATTGGAAAACAATGTCTCACGCATCAATTGATCTAGGAAAAAGTTAGTCTTACATCTTATACTTGTACAGAAAGTAAGGATAAGTATGTGTAATAGCAGGGCTGACCCAGCACATCATTAGCACACGCGCAAGCGCATACATGCGCGTACACATGTGTACATTTATCATGCATGTGTGTAGGTACGTGGTCACAGAGGCCAATCTCAAAGCTAGTTTGGTATACAATCGGACCCGAGAGGGAGAGAACGTGATTTGCTACCTCTTACACATACTTACGTACACAAGTGAGCTATTTATGGCACCGATCCTTCACTCAAAGGAGCGACAGCCACTTTCTTGGAGAGGGGAGCCATATACCTTTGCACTACAGCTCTTCCATATGGGTGGTGTGCAAGAATCCCCATGTTACAGCTCCCCCATTGGGAAAGAGGAAGGTGAGCCAGAAACTTCCTAGTATACCTACTAACGACTTCTTCTGTCATCCTCATTATGTAACTGAGTCCTTTCGTGATAAGATGAAATAAAATGAGATAAGTATGTTATATGCCAGGTGAATAACTATGAATTGTTTTAAAATTTATTATAGAGTAGTTAGCAGCAATTTATAAACAAAATTTAACTTACAATAGTAAGCAAAAAAAAAAGATAGAAATTGTGTACTAATAACAGGTTGGCATATATACAAAAAAAAAGTTAAGCGCAACAAAATCATAATTACATAAATATGGCTAAAAAACAGTGAGAATTAAAAACAAGTAATAAATGAACTATTTCAGTTAATTAATTTGTATTATCATAAGTATAAGGCGCCAAGAAATCAATATATGCAAGATATAAATGATTAGCACAAAAACTATACAGTGTATCAATAACAGAGTGATAGGTAAAATATACTTAAGTGGACTATAGTTGGTTAGATAAAGCCTAGGCTGTAGTCCAGTCTCAAGTTTTTATTCGCTCTTATCGAAACTTTGAAGATAGCCATATACAAGTATATTAAAAATTATAAAAGATTGCTTATAAGAAGATTGGTCAAATACTGCATGATGTAGGTTTTTAGAAGGAGCGATGACTGTACTACAAATGGTCACTACATGGATTTAGTCCTTAAAAGCAGAATTAGTATATATTTTATAGGACGACAATTAGAATAATACAAGTAGAACTAGTGTTATTAGTGTAGGGCCAGTAAAAAAGAGATGCAATACATGAGAGATTGTTTCTTGTAGTTAAATTGTTATCTTTAAATTAGTACTCTTTTCGATTGACACTTATTTTATTATTATTGAAAACAGGAACATAAGAGGCAAGGTTTAAATAGAAAAATAGGGTGGTGATAAAAGGAGAAAGTGACAGGAAAAGTTGTAACGGACGGATAATTTGGCGGTAAGAGAGAGAAAGAGAGGGTGAATTAGTTAGGAGGTATAACATAAAAAGTGATCAAAGGTGAAATTTTTCTCGAGTAATCAGCAAGACATGCGTGACAGCTTTAGTGGAAGATAGGACATCGGGCCCTATTCAGTCATAGGCATAAACGATGGTGCGAGAGGATCCTTTCCTTTTTTGGACCATAGCTAGATTTACTTAAGCCATCTTAGGTTTTTTATTCTTCCTTTTTTTCTTGTTGCCGTAAAATTGTTTCTAATACATACAAATTTTTTTAAATGTCAATCGAAAGGAAAAAAAGGTCAGTAAGATATATATTGTAAGACGATAAGCGTCTTTTT